ATATATATAGGAGATTTCCCTTTTTACCTTCCTTAACATGTTTCCTATTTTTAGAGACGTGTTTTAAATAGAAAACAAGACAAAGGATGGTGTCAAAAATCTCAATAAGTGTATTTCCGGACCCAAGTTGATATGAATATTTTTTTCTTGTTTGGTGAGTGGAGCTCGTGGTGAAAATGTGCGCGCACCCTTCAGTTACACCCTGTGTAAGGATTTTATTTCCACAATATAAATCTCGAATACGGAATGCGTTTTGTGACGTCATGTAAGTAGTTCGGAATGTACTTCTTTATTAGTTTATTCAACAGCTGTGTCTTGCAGGCGTTCTGTAACATCCAACTAAAAACGCAAAGACGGTTATGGTTTGTACAGTCGATGCATAATGATAACGAGCGTGATTAATTTAGAGTACTAGCCGAATTTTTTCACGGAGTAACAGAAAAATGCCACAGATATTCCAGACACGAGGCTCCTCTCCCTAATCAACTTCTGAACAAATCCAATCGGAAATGCCAACCAGTATATTACGAAATACAGTAATAAATTTGCTCCATGCCATTATTTTGTCTCCGGAAGTATATAATACTGACTTCCATAATTAACGCATGTGGTTAGAAATGAAATGTAATTATGCTAAGCCCGTCACGGTAGCCGAGCGGTCTAAGGCGTGTACTGTCTTCGCTCGCTTCGAAACCGGGATCGTGGGTTCGAATCCCACTCAGGGAATGGATGTTTAGTTTGTTTGTGTGCGTTTTTCTGTGTTTGTATGTAGGTAGAGGCCTTGCGACGAGCTGATCACCCGCCCAAGGAGTCCTACCGAATGTATAAGATCTATGAAGACGGAGAAGTTCATGGAGGTAGGCCTAGGCCCACTGGGCCTGTAGTGCCAAGGAAAAAATTTATGCTAAATGTACGAGTATACATGTGAAGCGTGAGTGGGTTATCAGATGCACTCCTGGTGCCACTACGGCTTCACATTTCATATTACTCATGAGGACAGACCTCTGACTGTGACAAGTAAGTGATTTCGTGTGTTAAACGCAGATCCGATGGGCCGCACGCACTGGGAGTAGGAGCAAGGAAAGGCGAGCGTGGCGTAAAGACAACCAGGAGGCGCAGGGTCAGGACTGTGTGGACCATCAGACTCTGCAGGGGGAGCCGCGCCTCCGGAGGGACAGCACCACGGACTACGCCGCAGACAATTCGTCGGAGCACAGTAGCACAGCCACACCGCTCACACAGTCCCCCCGACACAGAGTTCTCAACGTACAACACGGTAACCACGGCCTAATATTAAGTTCTGGTGATCCGTACACGTGTACTGACGTAGAACGTCAGACTGTAATAGCTGGCGACATACTTGCTTGGCGGTACTAAATTATGCTATGTTGAAGGACGGTGACTCTGAATTAGTTTGCGTTCATGGTCACGATATTATGATACGTTCAGGGGTCATGACGTGAATTGTGTTGGGTTCAGAGGTGAAGACAGTGAGTTCAGTTACGTTCATGGATAACGTCTCCGAAATATTTTGTGATTAGCCATGGTGAAAATGAATTGCACCACTTTTAAGTTAGACGAATTTGAGTTGCACTGACTTCAAGGGTGATGGCAGTGAGTTGTACTGCGTTAAGTGATCATAGCACATGAAACATACTGTTTATATTTTTGTGACAGTGTTCTTCCTGACATGTCGTGGTTTTATTATTTCATAATTTTGAAGTTTTATAAGAAACTGTCAGGTTACTTGAGTACAATATTTCGCTCATGGGACTTCTATATTTTAATTAAATATCGGTATAGTCATTATATCACTATTAAAGTAAAGTCGGTACACTTTTTAAATATATGTTCTGTCACTCTGTAGCTGCGGATTGAAAATATGTGTAATTGTTTCCATGTAAATATAGTTTCAGCTATTCTAAAATACTTTTGAAGGCACGTCATACCTTGAATGGTCAATTTTTATTTTTAGTTTATTGGGGTGGGTGAGACTGAGTCCACTACGTACGTCGGCCACTAATTTGCCAATTTACCAGCTCCGGATGACAGATGATGAGTGTGGAGCAGTCGGTTGAATGAGAATTGAGAATTTAAGTATTCGGAGAAAACCTTCCCCAGTGTCACTTTCTCCACCACAAATCCCACATGACCTGACCTGGGCTCGAACCCCGGCCGGCGCGGTGGAAAGCCGACGACTAACCGCCTGAGCTATGGCACGGCGTTGAGTGGTCAACCTTACGGAATTAAATTTCTGTGCGTTCGCTTAGGTCCGCAGTGTGGCAATTTTGAGTCGCACAACGTGTTGAAAACAAAATCTATCAATTTCCTAATGACGACGCAAAGATACACATCACTCTCCCACAATGATGTAGACCTAGAGATGTTTTATTCACAGTATAATTGCCCAGTGCCCCCCAAGTGCAACACACTGCGACGAACATCCTAGTTTGAGAAATTACACAGGTTACGGCTGAACTCCACTGATGTGAATTTTCTGTTATATGCTATTAACACCTATGACTTATGTGCAGTATAACTACTAAACGTTGATTTAAGCATTAAGCACTTCAACAATCGGCCATTATTATTAGTTTATTGTTAGTAATGGACGGTTGATTATATATAAATTGTATGTACAAACATTTTATTTAAACTCAGTCTTTATTGCATATTGCTGACCGGTAAGTGTATACGTGCCGGTCACGGTAGCCGAGCGGTCTAAGGCATGTACTGTCTTCGCTCGCTTGGAAACCGGGATCGTGAGTTCGAATCCCACTCAGGGCATGGATGTTTAGTTTGTGTGTGCGTTTTTCTGTGTTTGTGTACAGGTAGAGGCCTTGCGACGAGCTGATCACCCGCCCAAGGAGTCCTACCGAATGTGTAAGATCTAGAAAAACCGAAGTGAACGGAGAAGTTCATGGGGTAGGCCTAGGCCCACTGGCGCTGTAGTGCCAGTATTTTTAAATGGTTCATCACGTAATAATTCGTATAGTATACATTTAATTATAGCTTCAGTCAAATGAGAGACAAAAGTTAAAAATAGCTGTACATGAGCTATGTACGAGTATATGTAAATGTGTTTAGTTGATATCCAGTAGCCTTTAGAAGTCATAATGAAAGTTAAAGTATTTTAAAATCAATTCTTAGAACGTAGGACACGCGGTACCATAGTTGATGGAGGCACTATGCTACAAGCGAAAGGTTGCGGGTTCGATTCTCGACCTGGTCTTTGGATTTTTAAATTTACCTAATCCTACCAACCGCACTATGGCCGTGGATTCGACACAGCCTCCAAGAGAAATAAGTACCAGGAATCTTCCTGGGTGTAAAGGGCGGCCGAAGATTAAAGCCGACAATCTCACCGCCATCTGTGGGCCGATTGTCTAGAGAAATATGGGAGTCTCGACGTCTGGCAATCCTGTGGGCCTCCACGGCCTGTTACAGAGGTAGCTTTACCTCTTTTTTTTCCTTAGAACAGATGCATTATGTGATATGATTGTGAAATAAACATCGCAGTAAAAGTCAGGGTTTGGCTGTGCGAGACAGGTGCAGGGTGTCTATGGAGGCGGCTCGGTTTAGTTTCTCTGTAATGGAAGGAAGCATATGGTGCTGGAAGTGAAACACGGATTTGTTTACGTGGCGTCATCGTCGAGTGTTAGGGCTTCTGCTTCCTATTCGAAGGGCGTCTTTTCAGGTCTTGGCTTAGGGCTTTTGTGGGGTTTCTCAACGATCCCAGACAATATTGGGGTAGTATCTTAGACGTAAGACAACTTGTATTCCTTATTCTTTCTTTTCAGTTCCCAATTTGTACTTCCGTTCAGTGCTACTCAACATATGTATAGAAATACGTCGTGAAATGCTATAAATAGCGTTGAAGGATACTGCTAAACTTCCATTATCAGGATCATTCAGTGGAACTTGAACTTGCCCTTGTAATGACGAGGCTGTGACGTGCTTGTTCGTCTTTAACTTAAGGCCGAATTACCTGGGTCGCATGTTTCTATTTTTGGAAAACAGGGCAATAGAAATTCAGAATTCCTGATCGGTGAATCTAAAAACACGTGTTAGTTAATAGAACTCTGTGGTTGGAAAGAGATTTAGAGAGACTGGGAGACGTTAATACAAGTTTTTTTTTTGGATGATTGGATTCGAATCTCGGGCGGATTACCTGCGATCTAGACAGGGGTTTCTTTACTTCCTCCCTTGAAAAATACTGAAGTAGGCCACGAGTGCTTACGTACAAATTGTCATCAATTCACTTACATGACCAGTAACCGAAATTACACTGTCCTAAGTAACTTTCTCCCGAAAGGCCGCGCCATAGCTCAAGCGGTTAGTTGCTGGCTTCCCACCGCGGCGGCCCGGGTTCGAGCCCAGGTCTGGTAAAGTGGGATTTGTGGTGGAAAAATTGGCGCTGGGGCAGGTTTTCTCCGTGTACTTCAGTTCAGCTGCCACTCTTCATTCCACCAAATTCTCCATTGTCATAATCATCCGGGGCAGGTACAATAGGCCAATCAGTGGCAGCAATGCCGAGTGGATCCAGTTGGACCCCACCCCCCACTATGCGAATTAAAAAAGAGCTTTCTCCCAATATTCCTTGTCATTTATTTGTCTACAAAATTATGAAAATGAAGGAAGGCGAATTTAGGTTTTGTTTTAAAAATGTACCCTTCTTCAGTAAACTATAACATCTTTAGTTTTCAGTGACCCGATCAACCATCAGTGCATCAGCAGCAAACCTAGCAGTTTCATTCCAGGTTTAATGTTTTTAACTATTTCCTGGTTCGAATCTCGGCCAGGACACGGAACAAGGAGATTTAGAATTTTCGTGATTTTCTTCACCATCTCTAAGCAAATGCCGAAATAGTTCCTTAAACTACTCTACGAGCTTTTCTTTCCATATCCATTACAATTCAATATGAACTATAGTCTTGAGTCACTGACAGTGAAGTTAATAAACTTAAAATAGATAACTAAATAAATATGAGAGAAAAGATATTTAAAGTAAAAGAATTTTCAACGGTTTGCGAAATGGAATCGCAGTCATTTGTCGCTATGACCACTCAAGTTTTTTCTCGTTTCTCTACGTCGTCTCCCGTTGTACTGTGGTGACTGGCGCCTTCATGACGCATTGAGCCTCGATTCGAAGTGAAACCCTCTCAGAATTCATTCCGAGACCGAAGAGACCGCTCTGTCTAGTCTGCATCAGCACAAGAAGAACGGACAATAACATTGTGACAGACCTGTACTGTGATCTATCTATCCATCTATCTATCTATCTATGTATCTGTCTATCTGTCTGCCTATCTATCTGTTTATCTGTCTGTTTATCTATCTGTCTGTCTGTCTATCTATCTGTCTGTCTGTCTATCTATCTGTCTGTCTGTCTATCCATCTATCTACCATTTGTTGGACCTTGGCCGTTTCTTCAGTTTATTAATCCTATACACAGTAGGTAGGAACCCTCGGACGGAGATCAGCCCGTCGCAAGGCCGCTGCCTACACGCAGAACTACAGAAACAGAATAAACGCACACAGACATCCATGCCTCGAGTGGGAGTCAACCCCACGATCCCAGAGTTCGAGCGGGTGAAGACAGTTCATGCCTTAGACCGCACGGCTACCGTGACCGGCCCACTGTAACCTGGACACACCAAAATGTATTTTGTGAATACTGAGATGAAGAATATGAATTAATATACTCGAACTTCACCAGTACTTTCAGTTTTATTTAAGATACGGTGGAAAACCTCTCCTTTTAATGCTCCTTTGCATTCATAGGACGCAACAGAAATGTTAGTAGAACTCACACTAGACTTGCAGCAGAACAAAAGCACTTCTTAAATATCATCTTCTTACGTGAGATATTTTGCAGCAACCAAAACCCAGAAAACAAAAGGGGCTGCTAGCTCGTTTTCTTTCGACCCCGCTCTCTGTGTCAGGTCAGCCGGTCTTGCGCTTTGTTCTTTATGTCATCGTGTGTTATATGAGATTATTTACTGTTATGACTGGACCAAATTACAAACAAGACATAATAAGTTCCGTGGTTTTAGTCCGCAAGCGAACTATACCAACCGAGAGACCGCCGCTTGTCGGCAAAGTTATTGCCAAATTTAGCGGATAGATGGTTTCGCGTGGTAAGCGCAATAAATCCCCACGGCCGTTAATTTCAGTTTTATATACTGGAGCCGCTACTTTTCCATTTAAGTAGTTCCTCAACCATCCTCACTAGGCTGAGTGGACCCCGTTCTAGACCCACTACTTATAATAAAA